AAAATGTTCATATATTTTTAATACAAGTTGTCTTTAAAAAAAAGAAGACTTACAGATTTAATAAACATTGACAATATTTTGTCCCACTGTTCTGCAGCAGCCAATGTATTTAAAAGAACCCATTCGTACTGCAAGTCGCTTATTTTCATCAATTTTTTAAATTCTATAATTTTATTTTCGTCAGCACCTTTACTTTTCCAAGTGCTATTGCATAGATTTGTCAGTTCTTCTGTTACTGATTGGCTTTTACTATTTTCAGTTTTTTGCCACTCTATTTAAAACTTAATTAGAATAATTGTGTAATAATAGTATTATAATCTTACTTAAAAAATTTTGATAATCAAGTAAAACAGATTTTTCCCTCTCTGAAACAATTTCTCCAAAATGTTCCACAATAAAATGCCCTAATTTTGATAACACTCCTTCAACACTTGGAATATCTACGCTAGCCATATAAAATATCTCAATCTGTTGGTAAAAAGGAGTATAAATAATAACTACATAATTTCCTTTGAATAGACCTACAATTTCTGAACTAGATCCCACTGACAATAGTGTATTTGATAATTGTTGGGTTTGCAATCTGCTCCCTAAGTATGATAAGTACTGGTGCCATGCTTCTTTCCTTTTACTTATTATACGATGAAAATTTGATGAATTTAATGTATTCAATAAAAATAGAACAACCTACAAATACTCTTAGGAATAAATAAGAATGAACATTAACAAATAGCTATACATTTAATATAACATCACCATCCATAGTGGTGGTGGCTTCATCAAGTAATTCTTCTTTTTCCATTAATGAATGATAACATATCAAGTTATACGGTTGGTTTAGTACCATTCTTTTGATAGTCTCTTTTACTTCTCTATATGCAGGCTTACTTTGTAAGACATCATCCAAAACTAAATATAATTACTAACTTTTTAAAACTACATCATGAAATATTTACCAGCATCTAAGTTCTTTTTTGATATAACTGTTTGAATAGGTAAAACATATAAATCAGTGTCCAGTGGTGATGATGAGAAAGCTGATTCAATTGAGTTTGCCTCAAAAGTAAGTGTACTGTTTGTAAACAGCCCTTTCGAAGTATCCTACAATTTCACATTTTAAGCATTTATTTTCCAAACAACAACGACGTATTTAATACTTACATCTTCATCATCAAAACTGAACCCAGTGCTTAAGCTTCTATTCCAATAATCATCTGTTTTATTTGTTGACATAACTTTACTTTTATTACTATGAAAGAACACTTAACAAAAGCAACATAAAACCATTTCAGAAATACAAAGAATGGGCTCTATTAACTCTTATTTTTACAAATGTTTAAATATAAACAAAACAACTAATTTTACGAGGTTATGTTATATTGAATAAGCATGTAATAACAAAGAAAACTGTATTGCCTGCAGAGTTCAAAAGTTAGTTCCTGCTTATTAGCGTCATGATCGCCCTGTCGGTTAAAAGTGGAACTTTGAACATTCAAAATTTAAACGTGAATTTATGAATAAACGAAGAAGGTTTTTCACCAGTACTTCAGTAAGTTTTTAAATAATAATTCATAAAACAAAGTAGAGAGTTAAAAAAATTCTAATGTATTTTGTTATTTCTAATCGTAAATTGTATTATAAGAAAATGTGGTATTTTCTGTTTTTCTTTCTTTTATGAAAACGATTTTGGAGTTAATACAACTTTCCTTTTTTGAACTTAAAATAGAAAATAAGAACACAAATTGAAGCCAATACGTCAAAACGTAAGCTACAAAACTTAATAGATATTAAAAAATTCAATTACTCATTATAAACGTATTGTACAGTCAATAAAAGAAATAATGACTCAACATTCTAAATACATGGGCTTCTTGTTAGAAACGCAGACTTCGATCAAATCAAAAATGTTATGTAATTATACGTGTTTTTGAAAATTTTTATAGGTTTTAGTACAAAATATGTGATTAAATTTAAACTGACACTACTGCATAAAATTCCATATTCACATCTGGAAATTAGCTTATTCGCATAGATAATGTAATCTTCGCGTAGGTCGATGATAAAGTGTTGAATGTGTTGTCTTTTGTGTAAAAAAATGTTTCATTATTTTCTAAACTTATTGTACAAAGCTTTCAAATGGCGACTATATCTAAATTATACGGAGTTGCGCACCACTGATCTTCCATATTTGAAGCTACCCCTAAATTATTAGTAGCTAAGCCGCGCTGTTGCAAGGTGCTCGCTTTGAAATTTTTCTAATGCCGGGCAAAGGTCTATGTAAGTGAATAATTTTTAATATTTGTGGTTTTTGCGGTTTTATTTTGCTGTTGCTTTTTTCTAATCACGCTTAAGATCGAAATTCAGCTATCTGTTCATAACAAAACGTAGTTCATATTGAACGTACTTATTTACAATCTAAAACAAAATAAACTTAACTTTTTAATTGGGTAAAGTTTTTAACATATTGCTATTTTAGATATTGCTAATAATGAAACTGAGTCCACAGAATGTTTGACTTTTTTCGTAATTTTTGATAAAAAGAAATAGTTTAATAATTAGTATTTTTTTATTTCTGTAATCACTTGTTCTTAGTTTACATATGTAATACAGATTGCCGATGATAACTTTATTTCTTTTTTTATAAAGTTTGTTAAAAGTGGTTGCAATAAGTAGTGCGTGATCTCTTTAAATTTTAATAACTTTTGTGTTCATGCACGACAATTTTGGTACCTGACTATAACTGTGACATACGTTTCTCAGATTTATTTTAAATTAAATTGAAATTGAGATATTATTATAAAAATGAATGCTGCATCTCAATTCTAATCGAAAACTGAGGTGTGAATTAAAAATTTAATACTTGGCCAATTTTTCATTGTTTGCGTCGATGAACGTGATTGTATTTTTTAAATATGTTTATCAAAAATTAATGAAATATTAATATCGGAAATTTGGACTGGGAATATCATCATTGTAGTTTAATTTATATCGATAAGGATAAATTTGAGAAATTTGTATTGGTCTTAGGCGTGTCACAATATTTCTTAAAATTTAGGGTGCGCAACTACACGGACGCTTTGACCAGTGGTCTAGAAGCGTAGGAGGAATTATTGATCGTTGATACACGCACACGCATATAACATATACCCTTCTCCCTTTTACACACTTTCGTACATTTATACAGAAGGAATGTTATGTTCCATTCGTTATTATATTTTTCTTATAGCCGCAGACTTTTAGTTGATGATCAATAATTTCTCAACGAATGAAAACTTAAATTTCCCCTGCACACACGTACCTACTCATATCTAAAAGCCAATTCTTTTCACTCCTTCCATTTTGATTGTAAACGAAATGAAGGATAACGATACGTAGAGGTCATTCACTTTCAAATTAAATAAACAAAGAATTGACTATCATTATAGTTTCAGATTTTGCATTTTACCAAGATCCTTTATGTTTTCTTAATTGGATAAAACCGAAAAAAAACATATTTTGACTGCTAATCGTAAATAGGTACAAAAACGAACTGTAAAAGATTTCCAGACTCGCGTCCTTTTTATAATAGGTATCACAATTACCCTGTGCGTCATGTACTATCTTCGAACTTAAGAAGAAATTAGAGCGTTCAAGGAAAGCCTTACCGTTATTATTTCTAATTATAGAGAAAGTAAAGAAGCGCAAAATTAAGTTGATGTTTTAATTATATAAAGGGTTTCAATTACTAACAATAATTTCTAATTGTTAACCAAACATTATTAGTGGTTGGAAAATAAAACTTAAATGTAAACTATCGTGGATGAGAGGGTTACTGAAGTTTATTAATGTTCGACTACGTAACAGAATTATATTGAAATTTTTTATAATCCAATATTTGATAGCAGCAGAAGGAAAAAGACAGAAGTTAATTGGAGTATTTCTTAATTAAGTGATCATTCTATAAATACCCAATACGTAATATATTTTCTCGTGCTTACCAAGCTTTAATTTGTCGGTTTTCTTCAGGTGTTACGTTAAAATTGAAAAGTGTAATTTTTGTTTTTGCTTCGATTTAGCATATGGCGATGAAGTAGTTATTTTATTAATAGATTGTGTATCTTATCAATAAAATATAGATAGCCGAAGCTCGGTATATTTCTGAATGTTTTTTTAGTTAAATTTACATTTCCTTCTACAACAAGGAAACGATTTTAAAACTTTATGAACTTTTCGTTTCATATAGTTAATTTATATAACCCGAATAAATTATTTACAACGCATTACAACTTCCCTTCAACAAGGTTTTCATTTACTTTTTTGTGTTCGCAAATAATTAAAATGTAAAATTAATAAAGGGGGTAAAATAGAAACTTCGTATTACATCTGCCGTTCCATTATACATATACGTATATTTATTTATTTTATCGATAAGGTGTGTATTTACACACTTGACAAAATTCTGTTCTGTTGGTACGGTTTAATAAAATATATTTAAAATTATACGTGACATTGTTACACGAAAACAATAGCGTCAAACAGGATTACGTTANATAAGTAAAATTAGGATCGACCGACGTAGATCAATTGCAACTGACCCTAATTAGGGAACTGTGAAAATATATCTTTTAAATAATGGCACTATGGAGAACGATGAAACATTATTCTTAGTTCTCGACAAACCAAAAATGCATTAAAAAATTATTGATGCAACAATTTTCCTAAACTTATAATTAGGAGTTTCACTGATAGAATTGACGTAGCCTGCATTAAATGTGCGTTTTATTTCACCTGACGTTTGCTATAATTAGCACCAATGTGAATAATCAATACCAAATCAATAAGAAAAATACATTTTAATCCTTATATAGCAGATAAAAAGCGAGAATTGGGAAAAAATCTGGACGTGGTTTTTGTTTTTCGGAAAATGACATTGTGTTTAGTTAAAAGATTTTTTTTCGGTGTTAAGTGAACGAAGTGGAAGACAAGCAGGTAAAAATTTGAAATACACATTTGCTGCTAAAAATAGAAAGAGGTATTTACCAATATTTTTTACAGGTCGATAACAGTATAGTAAATTCCCGGTAAAATTTCTTTTGCTAATGTCAAGATAAGAGAACATTTCGGGCCACCGTGTATGTTTAACATCCGAAGTAGGCCTGCTACTATTTTTGCTTAATATGTTATGTACACATATATTGTATGATAGTAGGAGCAATATCAGCAGTGTATAATGGTAACGCTTTGTTCGAATGGCCAATAAATCAAGGGCTGTTCGTGAGCGTAGCCCGAACAGGTCACCGGGTCGAAGGATATGCCGGTGACATCCATGTTCGTAAATCACGCTTGTATTCGTTTATATTTGCAGTGGAGAGTTCTACCTCGGATTTCCGCGCAGCGAACTGCAGGGGGTGTCCTGGTATCGGCTGCTGCACTGGGAAAGTACACGAGAAGCGCAAACCAAACACAGGCTCAGTAAGTTCTACCTCAATGCACCGCACTCACTACATTCCACACTAAAAACTTAACCCACTAATAAACTAATTAAACCCTAAACATTCATTTAAATTAAACGATTTCATATAATCTATTCGTATATAAAACGCCGATGGATAACACAATAATATTATAATTTAAATAACTGCTTGAAATTACAATAAAAATACATAAATTACATTTTATTAATAAACTTTTTCGATAATTAATAGCATACTGTCAACAACAACTCTATGTAATTAATTGTCTTTTCTAATCTATATTAAATATGCTTTTTATAATAATAAAGATTGTGGATAATAAACCCATTCCTTAAAATTACTCCTTAACTTTAATAAAAATTAATATCATTTCTGCTAACATAAAATCTTGCTCCAATAATTACTACCTACGTATAGCCTGGTTTGGTGCAGCTTTCTTCTCTTTTCTTTTTTTATTTTCTCATTGGCTAATTTTAAACATCAGCTGAATCCTAGCAGTGGTTATGGGTAATGAGTAGTGAATTTTTGATGACTGACGAATATTTCGTTGTCTTCTAGTAACCCAATCTGAACAGGAACGTTCTTGTATATTATTAGCACGTTTTCAAAGAAGATCAGGGGAGTGGATTTGGATGCATTGCGTTCTTCAGGTGAAAGAAAGTTCGGAGAGCAACCAACAGCCAGTGATAGTGTGTACAAATCAGGTTCTCAGCGAAGCCGAAGCAGAAGTAATGAGAAACAATAGTTGGCTATACCATTATTACTCGGTGCAAAACAAACTCCAGTATGGACTTTCATATGATATGGGGCCATCGACACGATTGTTATACTACCCAGAGCATCACCCTGTTCCTGATTTCCCTCCAGCTCATGAACCTAGTGATTACACCCACTTGACAACCATGCCGGTAACCTTACAACCGCATATAACTCATCACGCTGTAGCATCCCATTCCCATCATAGTCAACACCATCACCATCATCACCATCGCCATCGACCAGACTGTGAGCCTGTAGATTATTCATACAGCAAAAGGAAACCCAAAGAACTTAATGCCCTTGAGCTAGAAGTAACGAATATGGAAACGGAGACGGCTGGGGAAAGTGCTGGCTTACTGGTTGTTGGACATTTTTCAGAACGACAGAGGACTCTCCTCAAAGTCGATCCTAGTGAACTTATGGAACAATGGAACCCAAGTCCGCCTTGGTCAGATACGCTACAAAAAGTTCCTGACTTGTGTCATCAAGAACTCAGTCCTTACATAGGTAGTACTCCCCCTACACCTACTGCTACTCCTAGGACTCATTCTGAAAATGCTTTTTCTTTTGACTGGATGCCTGAACAGTCTGTGCCAAGCTTGACGATAGTGTCGACGACAGGGGAAGAACCGGAACACCAGCAATGTTGGCATAGTGAACATCGTCTTTTTCCTCTTCAGCCACCCCCTAAAAGAAACTACTCCTCGGAATCTACTGATAGAGTGTCGCCTTGACGATGTGGTGGTACTCTAGCCTAGATCAAGTGCAATATCGTGCTTCCTTATTTATTATTTTCTTTTTATATTTTTGTAGTACAAATTGCACGGGACGGTTAATAGAAATACAAAATTGGGTAACTGTAAATATATATCTCTAAAATAATGGCACTAAGGCCAACGACGAAACACTACTTAGTTCTGGACAAATGAAAAATGCATTAAAAAATTTTTGATGTAACAAATGTCAAACAATTTTCCTAAATTTGTAATGATTAAATTAAATGTGCGTATATACTTCACCTGACGTTTGCCGTAATTAACACTAATATCAATAGTCAATACCAAATCAATAAGAAAGATAATTTTAATCCTTATTTAGTAGAGAAAAAGCAAAAATTGGGAAAAAATCTGGACGTGGTTTTTGTTTTTCGGAAAACGACGTGTTTAGTTAAAAGAATTTTTTTTCGGTGTTAACTGAACGAAATGGAAGACAAGCAGGTTAAAGTTTGAAAAACTTGCTGCTGAAAATAGAAAGAGGTGTTTACCAAAATACACCAAACCAAAAGCAAAATTTTGTTCTAACGATTATTTTTCTTTTCTATTAAATTTTTCGTAAAAATCAAAAACCATTTAAGTAACTTTTAGTGTGACAGCGATAGGAAAAAGTACAAATAAAATTGCCCTTCATTTAAAGGTTTTTTTCGTTACCAAAAAATAAGCTACTAAAAAGGCACTAAACCAGTGGCAAGCAGTTGTTGTTACGATTATTATTGTTTTTTTTGTAATTTTTTGCAAGATCAGAAACGATTTAAGTAACTTTTGGTGTGACAACTTTAGGAATAAGTAAAATTAGGATCGACCGACGTAGATCAATTGCAACTGACCCTAATTAGGGAACTGTGAAAATATATCTTTTAAATAATGGCACTATGGAGAACGATGAAACATTATTCTTAGTTCTCGACAAACCAAAAATGCATTAAAAAATTATTGATGCAACAATTTTCCTAAACTTATAATTAGGAGTTTCACTGATAGAATTGACGTAGCCTGCATTAAATGTGCGTTTTATTTCACCTGACGTTTGCTATAATTAGCACCAATGTGAATAATCAATACCAAATCAATAAGAAAAATACATTTTAATCCTTATATAGCAGATAAAAAGCGAGAATTGGGAAAAAATCTGGACGTGGTTTTTGTTTTTCGGAAAATGACATTGTGTTTAGTTAAAAGATTTTTTTTCGGTGTTAAGTGAACGAAGTGGAAGACAAGCAGGTAAAAATTTGAAATACACATTTGCTGCTAAAAATAGAAAGAGGTATTTACCAATATTTTTTACAGGTCGATAACAGTATAGTAAATTCCCGGTAAAATTTCTTTTGCTAATGTCAAGATAAGAGAACATTTCGGGCCACCGTGTATGTTTAACATCCGAAGTAGGCCTGCTACTATTTTTGCTTAATATGTTATGTACACATATATTGTATGATAGTAGGAGCAATATCAGCAGTGTATAATGGTAACGCTTTGTTCGAATGGCCAATAAATCAAGGGCTGTTCGTGAGCGTAGCCCGAACAGGTCACCGGGTCGAAGGATATGCCGGTGACATCCATGTTCGTAAATCACGCTTGTATTCGTTTATATTTGCAGTGGAGAGTTCTACCTCGGATTTCCGCGCAGCGAACTGCAGGGGGTGTCCTGGTATCGGCTGCTGCACTGGGAAAGTACACGAGAAGCGCAAACCAAACACAGGCTCAGTAAGTTCTACCTCAATGCACCGCACTCACTACATTCCACACTAAAAACTTAACCCACTAATAAACTAATTAAACCCTAAACATTCATTTAAATTAAACGATTTCATATAATCTATTCGTATATAAAACGCCGATGGATAACACAATAATATTATAATTTAAATAACTGCTTGAAATTACAATAAAAATACATAAATTACATTTTATTAATAAACTTTTTCGATAATTAATAGCATACTGTCAACAACAACTCTATGTAATTAATTGTCTTTTCTAATCTATATTAAATATGCTTTTTATAATAATAAAGATTGTGGATAATAAACCCATTCCTTAAAATTACTCCTTAACTTTAATAAAAATTAATATCATTTCTGCTAACATAAAATCTTGCTCCAATAATTACTACCTACGTATAGCCTGGTTTGGTG